GCCTCCCTCAAATTCATGTTCCGCATCCTCTCACTCAGGTACAATTTCCTGCTGGTCGCTTCCCTCTCGGCCAGTTTCTTGTACTCTCTCTTGTACCCGTCCTCTGTTTGCTGGAGCATGTTAACCTGTCCCCTTAAAGACTTTATCTTTTCACACTGCTCTCTGATAATCCACTGACACTTTGGGATCAGGTCTAACGACTCTGGAGCCGGCAGCCGGGACATTTGGTGCTTCAGCTCCTCACACTGCTTCTCCTTCTCGTCTATGATTTGAGCCTTCCTCTCCAGCTGTCTGCGCTTGGTGGTCAGCTGTTGGGTCTTGGTGATCAGCCTCTCTTTCAGGTCCTGGTTCTGCTTGTACACCCTATCCACATCAGAGGGCAGGTAGAAGGGCAATGTGATGACCTTTGGTGGAGGGCAGGCGTCCAGCTCTTTCATTGCCTGTTCCAGTTGAAACTCTAGGTCAGAATGTCTTTTCTTTTCTTTGGCGATGGTTTTATCTTTTTGGGCGAGCTCCACTATGAGATTCTTTGTAAGGAATATCTTGCTCTCCAGATTGGTGTTCACCTTCTGAAGTTTCTCCACCTCCAGCTCAAGGATGTGTATTTTCTCCATTAGCTCTTGCTCCTGCTTGTGCCACTGGGACCTGGCCATGTCCACGTCCCTGTTCTTCTGTCTCCTCAAAGCAAACACTTCCTGTTTGTAGAGCGACAACTCCTCTCCCTGGAGGTCTTTTTTTTTGGTCAACTGCTTCACTTTCTCCATGTGGTATTCCAGGTCTTTCTGGCAGCTTTTCAAAGATTCCTCACTTGCATTTAGGTCCTTCTTCAGCTCATGCAGCTCCTTTATTAAGCATGCACTTTCTATTTCATTGGATTGGTACGTGTCAATTTTACTCTGAAGACGAGTATTTTCATCTTTCAACCACCTTACTTCTGCTGTGAAGAATTCCTCCACATTTTTCCAGCTGTTTTTGTCCTCACACAGGGCTGAAACTGTAGCCGCAATGATAGGATGATCTACACCGTTCTTGTCCTCCATCTTTGTCCGATGAGAAAACACTGTTTTGTTTTAGTGTCAGTTGTTGTGGGTCTGATCTGTTACTTTGTTACTGTGAACCTCCAATCAACTGCCTGATGACATCATCGCATTCCGTGATGTCAACAGTCTTTGTTGCATCATCACATTCCACTTTGATGTTTTAGTTTGGAGTCATCTGACAGGAACTGGCTCCATTAACGCCTTTTTATTTTGCTTCTTCATGAAAGAGGAAGCAGAGTGCTGTTTGCTTCATGGATGTTTAAAGAGAACTGGATACAGAGTTGGAGGCGGTGCCATGAAAGTTGCTCAGTGGTGTATGAAGCCAAAAAAGGCACTTTACCCAGATGAATGCATGGGTCACCGTAACCCAGTTAGCATGCATGAGACTTCCGCCAGTGAATTTAATTTTGCAAATCTTATAGACAAATGTTATTTGACTGAATGGATCAAATTCTGATTTGGGGGTTGAGATGCTCAAAGAGATGTATCCACCATTTTACAGCTGCTTCTTTCACAATGTAAGCTTATAGGAAAAAGTCTTCAAACTCGGCATTGCTGTAATTACATGGTACGGCCACTATGTAAAAGTGGCTTCAAAGCCCGGTGCTCTTCCTGGGGCGGTTTGTTTGCTTCCTCATATCTACGTCTTTCCTGTAAAAAATGATAATGGTAAATGGACCTGTACTTGTATAGCGCCTTTCTAGTCTTCCGACCACTCAAAGCACTTTTACACTACGTACCAGATTCACCCTTTCACACAGCGATGGCAAAGCCCATCAAACAGAAACTAATGCATTCACACACCGATGCATGGCAGCGGGAGCAATTCAAGGTTCAGTATCTTGCTCAAGGATACTTTGACATGTGGCACCACGAGCCGGGGATTGAACCAATAACCTTCGGAAGAGGGGACGACCCGCTCTGCCTCTGCACCACAGCCGATTAACAGGCAATTAGAGAGGGACTTGTCGCAGATATTGATTGTGTGAGGCCATGGATGTCTGTAACACATTAGCCCTCAGAAACACTTTTAACGTGTTTCTCATATGAGGTTAACACCTGTTCAGTACATTGTCCATTAATCTTTAGATTAACTTGTGTAATGGACAGAGAGAGTAAGAGAGAGAGAGAGAGAGAGAGAGAGAGAGAGAGAGAGAGAGAGAGACACACAACAGTATTGGCAAAGGCAATCTAGCAGGACCATGGAAGGAGGCTCCACCAGGATCGATAAGAACCTGCGAGGCGAGAAAGCACAAGAACTCCGGGGAAGAAGTGAAGTTAGTAACATGCATTAATGGAACATGAATGAGTGCAGAAAGAGAGAGGAAGACAGCTTTGCTTTTAGGGTACTGGCTACTTTTTTGGTCCAAATCTGGCACTGATTCTATTTACTTAATTAACTGTTGAGCTTCATTAGCTACCTACATTTATGAGGTGCTCCTGATTTGAGAACTGGTATCACTTTCATTCAGCTTCCATTCCTGAGAAACTAATGGTTTTACCAGTATGTTTATATAAAAGGCAGTATAGAGGTGAAAAAGATGTTGTGAGCAAATGAGTACTTTTTCATTCATGAACAGAAAAGAGACTGCAGTCTGTTCCATTTCTCTGCATTTATCTGTTATTTGTGGGTCATTGACAGGAAGCAGACTCTCTTCAATCCCCCACTAATGAATCCAAACAGCCCTCTAACTGTTCTCTGACTCACTGACTGAAGCAATTAAAATCTCATAGACTGTCAGTGGAGGCTTGTTTCCCTCTAAAGACAAAGAACAAGCTGTTCCTACTGGAAAATAAGAATTAGGAGAGTATTATTGTACAGAGATTATTCAGCTCCTGGATACAGTCAGCATCCTCTTTAACCTAAAAATCAGGACTTACAAAGAGAGATCAATGAAAAAAACACCAGCATAAAGATGATAAAAATGCAGTGAAAACAACTACTGTTACTACAACTTATTGATCTAAATGATCGCTGCTAGAACGAAGCTGTTTTTAAACCTCTTTGTTCTTCACATTGGGACTGTAGACCTCTGCCCAGAGGAAGAAGCTGAAGTTCACTGTACAGACTAAAATGCAGCTGGTTATCAGCTGAAACTTTACAGAGACACAATCAGCCTACAGACCATTCAAGAGTTTGATTCAGAGAGGTTTTCAAAGCCTGACACCGAAGAAAAAGATCAGATAAATTCAATAAAAGCACAATAAAACTCATTTAAAATGAGTTCATAGGATTTATCTGAATAATGTCACTTACTGTAAATGTATCTTCTTTATAAAAATGTTTCCACCAAGTTGAATTTACTTTCTTTCCACTGAAGCTAATTATTACATTACCTGTCAAACAGCTGACGTACCATAAAAGCTATTGGTAAGTCATTATCAAAATTGTGGCCAATTAATTTCCTGTCCTTTTTATATAACAAAACAAAATCAAATCTTTACACTTTGCATACTCTGGCTTATGATGATTAATAAACTTAAATAAAAACACAATTGTAAAATGCTAAGCAAGCAGCATTATAATGCTTCAACTATTAGTTTTTTGTTTGCAGGATTCATTTATGTTAACTTTTATTAAGATGTGCTGTCATGTTTTTCCAGGCAGTAGACAGTAAAACGACGTTGGGTATGGACAATCAGGATGTGAAAAATACAGTGCATACAGAAAGTATTCACAGCGCTTCACTTTTTCCACATTTCATTATGTTACAGCCTTATTCCAAAATGGATTCAATTAATTTTTTTCCTCAAAAGTCTACACAAAATACCCCATAATGACAACATGAAAAAAGTTTTTTTTAAATGTTTGCAAATTTATTAGAAATAAAGAACGAAAATATAATATGTACATAAGTATTCACAGCCTTTGCTAGCCTTTCCTAACCCTTTGCTCTATACTTTGTTGTGGCACCTTTGGCAGCAATTACAGCTTCAAGTCTTTTGGAATATGAAGCCACAAGCTTGGCACACCTATCTTTGGCTAGTTTTGCCCATTCCTCTTTACAGAACCCCTCGAGCTCCATCAGGTTGGATGGGGAGCATCGGTGCGCAGCCATTTTCAGATCCCTCCAGAGATGTTCAATGGGATTCAAGTATGGGCTCTGGCTGGGCCACTCTAAGACATTCACAGAGTTGTCCTGAAGCCATTCCTTCGATATCTTGGCTGTGTGCTTAGGGTCTTTGTCCTGTTGAAAGATGAACCGGTGCCCCAGTCTGAGGTCAAGAGCGCTCTGGAGCAGGTTTTCTTCCAGGATGTCTCTGTACATTGCTGCATTCATCTTTCCCTCAATCATGACCATCTCCCAGTTCCTGCCGCTGAAAAACATCCCCACAGCATGATGCTGCCACCACCATGCTTCACTGTAGGGATGGTATTGGCCAGGTGATGAGCATAAATACACATGTACACTATATATATATAAAATAAAATAAAAAATGAAAACATTTGCTGTGACATGGGCAGGGATGGAAGGTGACCTATAGTTTGTTGAGAAACCCAACAGCTGTTGGTACAAATGATCTCAGGTATCTGTTAGACCTAGTTTTCGGGAGGTATACCTCCTTCCTGATGGTAGGAGGCAAAACTCAAGGATGATCAGCGGAAACAGAATGCACCTGAGCTCAATTTTGATCTTGATCGCAAAGGCTGTGAATATTCAATTCAATTTTTTCAATTTTATTTGTATAGCGCCAATTCATAACAGAAGTTATCTCAGGACACTTTTCAAATAGAGCAGGTCTAGACCGAACTCTTTAACATTAATTACAGAGACCCAACAGTACCACCATGAGCAAGCACTTGGCGACAAGGGCAAGGAAAAACTGCCTGTTAAAAGGCAGAAACCTAGGACAGATCCTCCGGCTCTAGGTGGGTGGTCGTCTGTCTCGACCAGTTGGGGTGAGAGAGAGAGAGAGAGAGAGAGAGAGAGAGAGAGAGAGAGAGAGAGAGAGCGACAGACAGACAGACGCACAGCAACAACAGTATTGGCAATGGCAGTCAAGCAGGACCATGGCAGGAGGCTCCACCAGGATCCATGAGAACCTGCGAGACGAGAAAGCACAAGAACTCCGGGGAAGAAGTGGAGTTAGTAACATGCATTAAAGGGACATGAATGAGTGCAGAAAGAGAGAGGAAGAGAGTAGCTCAGTGCACCATGGGAAATCCCCCGATAGTCTAGGCCTATAGCAGCATAACTAAGGGATGGTTCAGGACTCACCTGATCCAGCCCTAACTATAAGCTTTATCAAAGAGGAATGTCTTAAGCCTACTCTTGAATGTGGTGAGGGTGTCTGCCTCCCGAACCACAACTGGAAGCTGGTTCCACAGGAGAGGAGCTTGGTAACTGAAGGCTCTGGCTCCTGTTCTACTTTTAGAGACTATAGGAACCACAAGTAGCCCAGCATTCAGAGAACGTAGTGTTCTCGTGGGGTAATAGGGTACTATGAGCTCTTTAAGATATGAAGGGGCCTGACCATGAAGAGCTTTATAGGTGAGGAGGAGGATTTTAAATTAAATTCTACATTTTATAGGGAGCCAATGCAGAGTAGCTAGTACAGGAGAGATGTGATCTCTTTTTCTAGTTCCTGTCAGTACTCGTGCTGCAGCGTTCTGAATTAATTGGAGCGTTTTAATGGACTTATTGGGGCAACCTGATAATAAAGAGTTGCAGTAATCCAGCCTTGAAGTAACAAATGCATGGATTAGTTTTTCTGCATCTGTCTGTGATAGTATATGTCTAATTTTTCTAATATTACGTAAATGAAAGAAGGCAGTCCTAGAGGTCTGCTTTATGTGGGAGTTAAATGACAAATCCTGATCAAAGATAACTCCAAGATTCCTGACAGTGGTGCTAGAGGCCAAGTTAATGCCATCTAGAGTGACTATATCTTTAGACAATGAGTCTCTAAAGTTTTTGGGGCCAAGAACAAGAATTTCGTTTTTTTCTGAGTTTAACATCAGAAAATTGCAGGTCATCCAGGATTTTATGTCCTTAAGACATGTTTGTAATTTAGATAATTGATTAATTTCATTGGGTTTGATTGATAGATATAACTGCGTATCATCTGCATAACAGTGAAAGTTAATGGAGTGATTCCTAATAATGTTGCCTAAAGGGAGCATATATAAAGTAAATAGTATTGGTCCAAGTACAGAACCTTGTGGAACTCCATGACTAACTTTAGTATTTATGGAGGATTCATCGTTAACATGTACAAACTGAGAACGATCTGATAAGTATGACTTAAACCAGGTTAGGGCAGTTCCTTTAATGCCAATTTGATGCTCAAGTCTCTGTAAAAGAATATCATGGTCAATGGTGTCAAATGCAGCACTAAGATCTAATAATACAAGTACAGAGACAAGTCCATTGTCAGAAGCAGTCAGAAGGTCATTATTAACTTTAACCAGAGCTGTCTCTGTGCTATGATGAACTCTAAATCCTGACTGAAAATCCTCAAATAAACTATTGTTATGTAGAAAGTCACACAACTCTTTGGCGACTACTTTCTCCAGAATCTTAGAGAGGAACGGGAGGTTAGAAATCGGTCTATAGTTGGCTAAAACCCCTGGGTCAAGAGTGGACTTTTTAAGAAGGGGTTTAATTACAGCTACTTTAAAGGACTGTGGTACATATCCTGATAATAAAGAAAGATTAATCATATCCAGTAAAGAAGTGCCAATTAAGGGAACAACTTCTTTAAGCAGCCTAGTTGGGATCGGGTCTAACAGACAGGTTGATGGCTTCGATGAAGAAATGATTGAAGTTAACTGATGAAGATCGATAGCAGAAAAACAGTCTAAATATACATCTAAGTTTACATTGACAGAAGTCCCTGAACTTGGAGAGCCACTGATAACTGTTGATGGCAGTTGGTGATAAATTTTTTCTCTAATAGTAATAATTTTATTATAGAAGAAGCTCATGAAGTCATTGCTACTTAAGTGCTATACTTATGTACAAGCGATTTCGTCCTTTTTTATTTTTAATAAATTTGCAAAAATCTCAAACAAACTTTTTTTAAGTTGTCATTATGGGGTATGTGTGGAATTTTGAGGAAAACAATGAATTTAATCCATTTTGGAATGAGGCTGTAACATAACATCACCCCCATTCGGGCCTCTTTGCATTGGCTCCCAGTTCATTTTAGGATTCAGTTCAAAGTTGTATTATTTGTTTTTAAGGCACTTAATGGGCTGGCTCTAATATACATCGCTGACCTTGTACAGCCCTACTCTGTTCAAAGGTCCCTGAGATCCTCAAATAAAGGGCTTCTGCATGTGCCGCGCCCACGGCTCAAACACAAGGTGATAGAGCTTTTGCAGTTGCTGCTCCACCTCTGTGGAACCAGCTCCCCCTGGATATTAGATCTGCCCCCTCCATTTCTGCCTTCAAATCCAGGCTAAAAACCCACTTTTACTCCCTGGCCTTCCTTGTATTTCTGTGTTGTGTGCCCTGATATTGAAGGTTTCCTTTTATTCATGTTTTATAGAATTATTGACTATTGGTCCAATGTGTTTTTTCTGTATTATTTGTCTTTTTAGTTATCCACTGTACAGCACTTTGGTCAGCTAAGGCTGTGTTTAAATGTGCTTTATAAATTATATTTACTTACTTACTAACAAAATGTGGAAAAAGTGAAGCGCTGTGAATACTTTCCGTATGCACTGTATGGATCTGGAGGATGTTGAGCAACTTCAGGGTTGGACAGAGTCCATGTTGAGACCTGGCAGAGGACAGCATTCACATAGAGAGAGAGAGGCTCCTGGAGGACCAGGATACAGATCCAAACATCTGGACCGAGGCACAGACAGGAAATGATATTTTCTCTAAGATTCTGGAGAAAGTAGTCGCCAAAGAGTTGTGTGACTTTCTACATAACAATAGTTTATTTGAGGATTTTCAGTCAGGATTTAGAGTTCATCATAGCACAGAGACAGCTCTGGTTAAAGTTAATAATGACCTTCTGACTGCTTCTGACAATGGACTTGTCTCTGTACTTGTATTATTAGATCTTAGTGCTGCATTTGACACCATTGACCATGATATTCTTTTACAGAGACTTGAGCATCAAATTGGCATTAAAGGAACTGCCCTAACCTGGTTTAAGTCATACTTATCAGATCGTTCTCAGTTTGTACATGTTAACGATGAATCCTCCATAAATACTAAAGTTAGTCATGGAGTTCCACAAGGTTCTGTACTTGGACCAATACTATTTACTTTATATATGCTCCCTTTAGGCAACATTATTAGGAATCACTCCATTAACTTTCACTGTTATGCAGATGATACGCAGTTATATCTATCAATCAAACCCAATGAAATTAATCAATTATCTAAATTACAAACATGTCTTAAGGACATAAAATCCTGGATGACCTGCAATTTTCTGATGTTAAACTCAGAAAAAAACGAAATTCTTGTTCTTGGCCCCAAAAACCTTAGAGACTCATTGTCTAAAGATATAGTCACTCTAGATGGCATTAACTTGGCCTCTAGCACCACTGTCAGGAATCTTGGAGTTATCTTTGATCAGGACTTGTCATTTAACTCCCACATAAAGCAGACCTCTAGGACTGCCTTCTTTCATTTACGTAATATTAGAAAAATTAGACACATACTATCACAGACAGATGCAGAAAAACTAATCCATGCATTTGTTACTTCAAGGCTGGATTACTGCAACTCTTTATTATCAGGTTGCCCCAATAAGTCCATTAAAACGCTCCAATTAATTCAGAACGCTGCAGCACGAGTACTGACAGGAACTAGAAAAAGAGATCACATCTCTCCTGTACTAGCTACTCTGCATTGGCTCCCTATAAAATGTAGAATTTAATTTAAAATCCTCCTCCTCACCTATAAAGCTCTTCATGGTCAGGCCCCTTCATATCTTAAAGAGTAGTACCCTATTACCCCACGAGAACACTACGTTCTCTGAATGCTGGGCTACTTGTGGTTCCTATAGTCTCTAAAAGTAGAACAGGAGCCAGAGCCTTCAGTTACCAAGCTCCTCTCCTGTGGAACCAGCTTCCAGTTGTGGTTCGGGAGGCAGACACCCTCACCACATTCAAGAGTAGGCTTAAGACATTCCTCTTTGATAAAGCTTATAGTTAGGGCTGGATCAGGTGAGTCCTGAACCATCCCTTAGTTATGCTGCTATAGGCCTAGACTATCGGGGGATTTCCCATGGTGCACTGAGCTACTCTCTTCCTCTCTCTTTCTGCACTCATTCATGTCCCTTTAATGCATGTTACTAACTCCACTTCTTCCCCGGAGTTCTTGTGCTTTCTCGTCTCGCAGGTTCTCATGGATCCTGGTGGAGCCTCCTGCCATGGTCCTGCTTGACTGCCATTGCCAATACTGTTGTTGCTGTGCACCTGTCTGTCTGTCTGTCTGTCGCTCTCTCTCTCTCTCTCTCTCTCTCTCTCTCTGTCTCTCTCTCTCTCTCTCTCTCACCCCAACGGGTCGAGACAGACGACCACCCACCTAGAGCCGGAGGATCTGTCCTAGGTTTCTGCCTTTTAACAGGCAGTTATTCCTTGCCCTTGTCGCCAAGTGCTTGCTCATGGTGGTACTGTTGGGTCTCTGTAATTAATGTTAAAGAGTTCGGTCTAGACCTGCTCTATTTGAAAAGTGTCCTGAGATAACTTCTGTTATGAATTGGCGCTATACAAATAAAATTGAATTGAATTGAATATTGAGCAACAGCTTCCCCTGGGGGACACCGGAGAGCTGGAGGGGTACTGCGGGAGGAGGACTCCTCCGCACAGCGCTAAGTAAGAGTTCAACTCACAGGCAGTAAATGTGTCAGTATCATTCAGTGTGACTGACTCAGTGTAAACACATATTGATCGTTATCATATTGGTGACTATCATACAGACTGTAACTGACATTAACGACACACTGAGGAGGCCCTACTGTCAGAATATAGAATCATTGTGTTTTTGTTACCTTACAATGAGATGTTTTTAACTACAGAGGGAGCGGGCTCTCTTCTACGGAGTCCGCCATGTTGAACTACCACGTTACTACAGTAGCTCAGAATGAACAAACCAAACACTGGATACAGGTACAGCTCAGAAAATTTTAATATTGTGAAAAAGTTCCTCATCTAACCCTAACCCATCATTTCAGAAAGTGAAACTCATATAGTATATAGATTCATTATACAGGGTGAAATATTTCAAGTCTGTATATCTTGTAATTTTAATGATTATGGCTTACAGATAATGAAAACCCAAAACTCAGTGTCTCAGAAAATTAGAATATTGTGAAAAAGTTCAATATTGGAAACTCATGGTGTCACACCCTAATCAGCTAATTAACTCAAAACACCTGCAAAGGTTTCCTGAGCCTTTAAATGGTCTCTCAGTCTGGGTCAGTAGGCTACACAATCATGGGGAAGACTGCTTACTTGACAGATGTCCAGAACACAGTCATTGGCACCCTCCATAAGGAGGGAAAGCCACAAAAGGTCATTGCTAAAGAAGCTGGTTGTTCACAGAGTGCTGTATACAAGCATATTCTTAGAAAGTTAAGTGGAAGGAAAAAGTGTGGTAGGAAAAGGTGAACCAGCAACAGGGATAACCGCAGCCTTGAGAGGATTGTCAAGCAAAATCCATTCAAGAATTTGGGGGAGCTTCACAAGGAATGGACTGAGGCTGGACTTGCATCAATCAAGAGCCACTATGCACAGACGAGTCCTAGACATGGGCTACAAATGTCGCATTCCTCAAGTCAAGCCACTCCTGAACCAGAGACAACGTCAGAAGCGTCTTACCTGGGCTGAGGAGAAAAATAACTGGACTGTTGCTTAGTTTTGCATGTCATTTGGAATTCAAGGTCCCATAGTCTGGAGGAAGAGTGGAGAGGCACAGAATCCACGTTGCTTGAAGTCCAGTGTGAAATTTCCACAGTCAGTGATGAATTTGGGTCCCATGTCATCTGCTGGTGTTGGTCCACTGTGTTTTCTGAAGTCCACAGTCAACGCAGCCATCTACCAGGACATTTTAGAGCACTTCATGCTTCCTTCTGCTGACAAGCTTTATGGAAATGCTGATTTCATTTTCCAGCAGGACTTGGCACCTGCCCACACTGCCAAAAGTACACAAAGCTGGTTCAATGACCATGGTGTTACTGTGCTTGACTGGCCAGCAAACTCGCCTGACCTGAACCCCATAGTGAATCTATGGGCTATTGTCAAGAGCAGGCCAGCTGATGGTCTTGCCTGGGCCCGGGACGAGATAATATTAGATGCCCCCCCCCGCGCCCAGATCTCTCCTTTTCCCTATATAATAATAAATGCTATATATTTTCCCTAGTTGACTTTTTCTCTACTTCAAGGGAGAACAGCAAGCATGGTAGGGAAAATAAGGCCTTTTTTGAGCTGCTATATACTATCCAGTCCCTATCGATTTTTTTCCCTTCCATTGTGGGATGTGGAATATGTCAAATAGTTTGGGAATTCCCTGCCCTCTGCATCTGCTGGCAATTCCTTTGCCCTCTCTGAGAAAGGCGTTCGTTTGGCCATCACACGTACGAGGTTCACTCTATCAGAGTCGGTCATTCTAGTTGGCCATAATGCAGGATCGCTGAAATCGCTGGAGCTACCAAACTCAACTGTTTCTGTCGGAGATAACGTGTTGTGTCAGGCTTTTATACGAGCTGATGGACGTTAACATTAGAGCTGGCCTGTTAGGTTACGTTACAAGGCTGGTAAATGTTGGCTGCGCTGTTTCTTACTTTGCTCTACGTTGACTTTACCAGTTCCAGCTTCACTGTCACCAACTTTTCTTAAATATTTAGAAAATCTCTAAGGCCTCTATTTTCTTCTTCTCTTCTCCTCTTTTCTTTCCTTTTCTGAGCACCGGACTCGTGCTGACCGGACATTTTGAGCCTACTGAACTTCAAATCAAATGACAACATCAAATTTTGATCAGTGGCCAAATCATTTTTGGGAGGGGGGGGCTTGACCACTATTTCAAGGACAATTAGAAAGAAAACATCATTTTTTTGGGGGGGGGCTTGACCACTATTTCAAGGACAATTAGAAAGAAAACAAATAACAGGGACAGACAGGTACAGACATAATATATATAGGGACAGACAGTATATATAGGAGACAGACAGTATATATAGAGACAGACAGGTACAGACATAATATATATAGGGACAGACAGTATATATAGGAGACAGACAGTATAAATAGAGACAGACAGGTACAGACAGTATATATAGGAGACAGACAGTATATATAGAGACAGACAGGTACAGACAGTATATATAGGAGACAGACAGTATATATATAATTACACCAAACGTTGCAGGTTAAGGGCGAAGAAGATCCTCACACAGCCCAGTCACCCCGGACACGCTCTCTTCACTCTACTGCCATCAGGTCGGCGTTTCCGATGCCTGAGGACTAAGACTGAGAGGCTGAAGAAGAGTTTTTATCCACATGCCATCCGCCTGCTCAACTCTGAGCCTTAACCGGACAAAAAAAAACAAAAAACAAAAAAAACACTGCACCACTGTACTTTACTCACATATCTGCTCAATACTGTAAATGTGTGTGTGTATATATACGAGCTACCCCCCTCTAAGTTTTACACTTGGAGTCTACAGTCTATATTTTATATGTTATATTACAGTCTATATCTTATTTGATTTTTTTCTTAGTTTTATATTTACACTTATATTGTTTACATTGTGTGTTATGTTCTGTTTTACTGTACTATGTAATATGTATAACTGTGCATGTGACAAATAAAAACCTCTTATCTTATCTCTTATAGAGACAGACAGGTACAGACAGTATATATAGGAGACAGACAGTATATATAGGGACAGACAGTAGACAGGTTCAGACAGTATATACAGAGACAGACAGTATATATATAGAGACAGACAGGTACAGACAGTATATATAGGAGACAGACAGTATATATATAGAGACAGACAGGTACAGACAGTATATATAGGGACAGACAGTATATATATATATAGGGACAGACAGGTACAGACAGTATATATAGGAGACAGACAGTATATATAGGGACAGACAGTATATATATATATAGGGACAGACAGGTACAGACAGTATATATAGGAGACAGACAGTATATATAGGGACAGACAGTATATATATATATATATATAGGGACAGACAGGTACAGACAGTATATATAGGAGACAGACAGTATATATATAGAGACAGACAGGTACAGACGGTATATATAGGAGACAGACAGTATATATTGGGACAGACAGTATATAAGAGACAGACAGTATAAATGCTGACAGACAATATAAATAAGAGACAGACAGTATATATAATGACAGACAGTATATATAAGAGACAGACAGTATAAATAGGGGCAGACAGTGTATATATAGGAGACAGACAGTATATATAGGAACAGACAGTGTATATAGGGACAGACAGGTACAGACAGTATATGTAGAGACAGACAGTATATGTAGGAGACAGACAGTATATATATATATATATATAGGGACAGACAGGGACAGACTATATATAGGGACAGACAGTATATATATAGAGACAGATAGGGACAGACAGTATATATAGATAGACAGACAGTGACAGACATAATATATATAGAGACAGACAGTATATATAGGTACAGACAGTGTATATAGAGACAGACAGTATATATACAGAGACAGACAGGTACAGACAGTATATATAGGAGACAGACAGTATATATAGGGACAGACAGTATATATATATATAGGGACAGACAGGGACAGACAGTATATATAGGAGACAGACAGTATATATAGGTACAGACAGTGTATATAGAGACAGACAGGTACAGACAGTATATATAGGAGACAGACAGTATATATAGGGACAGACAGTATATATATATAGGGACAGACAGGGACAGACAGTATATATAGGAGACAGACAGTATTTATAGGAGACAGACAGTATATATATAGAGACAGACAGGTACAGACAGTATATATATAGAGACAGACAGGTACAGACAGTATATATAGGAGACAGACAGTATTTATAGGGACAGACAGTATATATATATATATATATATATATATATATATATATGGGACAGACAGTGTATATATATATATATATATATATATATATATATATATATAGGGACAGACAGGTACAGACAGTATATATAGGAGACAGACAGTATATATATATATATATATATATATAGGGACAGACAGGTACAGACAGTATATATAGGAGACAGACAGTATATATAGGAGACAGACAGTATATATAGGGACAGACAGTATATATATATATAGGGACAGACAGGTACAGACAGTATATATAGGAGACAGACAGTATATATAGGGACAGACAGTATATATATATATATATATAGGGACAGACAGGTACAGACAGTATATATAGGAGACAGACAGTATATATATAGGAGACAGACAGTATATATAGGAGACAGACAGTATATATATATATATATATATAGGGACAGACAGGTACAGACAGTATATATAGGAGACAGACAGTATATATAGGGACAGACAGTATATATATATATATAGGGACAGACAGGTACAGACAGTATATATAGGAGACAGACAGCATATATAGGGACAGACAGTATATATATATATATAGGGACAGACAGGTACAGACAGTATATATAGGAGACAGACAGCATATATAGGGACAGACAGTATATATATATATATATAGGGACAGACAGGTACAGACAGTATATATAGGAGACAGACAGTATATATAGGTTACGTTACAAGGCTAGTAAACGTTGGCTGCGCTGTTTTCTTACTTTGCTCTACGTTGACTTTACCAGTTCCAGCTTCACCATCACCAACTTTTCTTAAATATTTGTTTATTATTATATTGTATATATAGAGACAGACAGTATAGATATAGAGAGACAGACAGGTACAGACAGTGTATATAGAGACAGACAGGTTATGAAGCGTCCTGTCTCTTTAAGTGTTTGAAAGGAGCGCGCGGCGCGGCCTCTCTCCCGCTGACGTCACTGGTGTATGAGGAAGATGGCGGCGGTGTTGGAGCGCAGCTTCATTGAGATCTGCGGGTTTGAGAGGGAAACTCTGCACAGGGTCCGAGAAGTGACAGTAAACCTCGGTAAAGCTTGTTCTCTTGTCCGGTTGTTCTTTATAGCAGCCTGTTTTAATGCTAGCACACCGCTAACAGCTGCTAGCACATGCTAACCACCGCTAGCACGCCGGCTAGCAGCGCTAGCAGCACACGCTAACATAATGCGGCTGATGGCGGGTTGTTGTCGGACTAAATTAAAGCTGAACAGGTGAAATGAACCGTCGCTATCTCGCGGGGCTGTTATTTACCTGCTCTGTCTGTCTGAAAGCTAACGGGCACATTGTGCTGCTCAGCTTCATTAGACAGGACTGAACCAACCAAAGTGCACATTATTACTTACTAACAGAAAGAAGAGTTTTATATGTATGAGGGAAATATTGGCCGCTGGCGAGTTGTTGGAAAAGTATCAGTCACATGATCTGTGCCCATTAATATTGTTTCCTTCGTGCAGGTGTGAGTGCTCTACCTGGTGGTGTGAAGTTTGCAGACAGTGCTGGAGCCTTTCATTATGAGGACAGTGGGAAGCTGCTGTCTGTCACCAGCAACAGATTCATCCACTGGTCAGTAAACGCATCATATATCAGCACTGCTCACCGTGAACATGAGTTATTGATCAATCTGAGCTCTTTCAGTCTGTGTACAGTCCAACAGCTATTCCATGGTCTTGAATGTGTGTTCATTTGGGACATTTTCTCTTATTTTGCTAGTCACAGGTTGAGGTTTGTATATATTTTGTTTATTTGAACCACATCAGATTAGGTTATTGGTATACTGATCAGTTGACGCTTTCCATCAGTCTGATAGTAACAGAAAAACTCACGTATTGAGATCTGATGTACAAACTCGTCCTAGCTAAACTCTTTGCACAAACTTAAATAAGCAATAATTGCACATGTACAGTTAGTTATACACTGTTTAAAATATATTTGCATACCATATTTCTTACTGCATGCTGCATATAGTGTATACATTGTCATTATAGTCTTTATATTTTCTATTATATCTTTATTGTATTCTTACACTTGTGTATTCTTTGCACTACATTGCCCCTGTACTGCTGCGTCAAACACTAATAAAGGATTATCTTATCTTAACGCTGACTGTGTGCAGGTCCACATCAGGAGACACGGTGCAGCTGGTGGAGCAGTCTCTGGACACCAACCTGCTCAACAACGCTGTCAAACTCAAGTTCACCCACTGCACCGTGCTGCTCGGAGGAGTCACCATCCAGGAGACCCTCAACAATGTCATCATCCTCGTCTCCACTAATCAGAGCGTCCACAGACTGCTGCTGCCCCACCCCTCACGCATGTACCGCAGTGTGAGTAAATAACGCTGGGACAGAAAGCTAGCACACTGAGGTTGAAGCTAACACAGCCTTAGTATGTTAGCGTTAGCCTCACTCTTGCCAATGGTGTTACAGTAGACGTAGACTGGTAGACGTATAACTAGATGTGTACCTGCCGTCCCCTGCAGGAGCTGGTGACGGAGCTCCACATGCAGTCCATCTTCACAGATGTGGGGAAGCTGAGTCTGCAGGACCCCTCTCACAGTGCCATCATCCCCAGCTCAGTGGGACAGACAGGGAGTCCCAGCACCTCCACGGCCTGGCTCAGTCAGTCTGGAGAGGCTCACTACGCTCTGGGTTCACCTGCTGGAGGCATCATGGTGGTCACTCTGGCCCCCCACGACACTCAGGGTAAAGACAGCCTAACTGGTTTCACTGGTTTCCACACTCGTTCTCCAGTCGGTTCTATAACTGCGTGTGTTGCAGGTGGTGTGTCGGTGCTGGAGCTGAAGAGGAGCTCCATGATGCAGAGGCTGTCTGGCTGGATGCCCACGGCCATCCGTGGGGAGCAGAGTCCAGCAGACCTGGTCCTCAGTCTAGCTGTCAGAGAGCTAGAGGAAGACTCCTTCATCTTTGCCCTCTGTCAGGATCACAAACTGCGCATGTGGTCCTTCAGGGTGAGACCCTCACCCACCTATCCAACATCAGACATACTGCAGACACACTGAGGCTAAAGCTAACAGGTTGTATTATCCTAACGCACTGAGGCTAAAGCGAACAGTCCTCAGGTAGCGTTCACTGAATGTAACACAGAATTATGATTTTATTAATGTTAGTAACTAGTACAGCATTCAACAGAGAAGTGCATTAAACCTGTTGTGTTTCCTCTGCAGGAGCAGGCGTGTCTGCTGGAGGCGGACATGTTGGACTACATGCCGGCCTGTAAAGGAGTGAAGCGGCTGGCCGGTCAGGGTCATCGGCTGAGGCTGGCGTTCTCCTCCACCACTGGCCTCTGCTTGTCCGTCTACCTGGCCGTACCTCAGAGAGGACAGTTCACCGTCCTGCAGCTGGTCGCCACCGACAACAACCGCTACAGCCTCGACCACATTTCTTCTCTCTTCACCACACAGGTAAACTGCAGCTGGTGTCATTTCTTTTATCTTCTAACATGTTTGTTTGATTAATAAATGAGCTAAATATTGTCTGTCAACAGGAGACTCTGGTGGATTTCACTCTAACCTCCACAGACATCTGGGGTGTATGGGTGGACGATTCTAACACCACTGTGGTCAAATACATCAACTTTGAACAGTGAGTAATGTCAGGAATGATCCTCTCTCTTGAATGAATGAATCTGTCTTTGTTATGACACTGTGTGTGTTTTCCAGTAACACAGCCGGTCAGTGGAACCAGGTGTTCGTTCAGCCTCCACCTGAGGAAGAAGTCCATATCGGAGTGGACCAGGACCCCAGAGTAAGACCAGTCCCACACCAACAGCCACTGATAAAACTGTGACCTCTGACCTCTGCATGGGGGACAAAAAGTGATCATTAAAATATCAAATTAGACTTTATGGTATCCAAGTGGTCAGGTGTGTCTCCATGGTAACTAATGTTGACTGTGTGATGAAATACTGTGTGTTGTATGTTAACAGGAGACATACCTGGATGTTCTCTTCTCTCCACTACGCTTCACAGCTTCAGCCATCGTTAAAGCTCTACAGGTGAGAAACTAGGCGCTGTAGTTAAAGCTCTACAGGTGAAACTAGCTGCTGTTTTTAAAGCTCTACAGGTGAGAAACTAGGCGCTGTAGTTAAAGCTCTACAGGTGAGAAACTAGGCGCTGTAGTTAAAGCTCTACAGGTGAGAAACTAGGCGCTGTAGTTAAAGCTCTACAGGTGAGAAACTAGGCGCTGTAGTTAAAGCTCTACAGGTGAGAAACTAGGCGCTGTAGTTAAAGCTCTACAGGTGAGAAACTAGGCGCTGTAGTTAAAGCTCTAGAGGTGAAACTAGCTGCTGCAGTTAAAGCTCTACAAGTGAAACTAGCCGCTGCAGTTAAAGCTCTACAGGTGAAACTAGCCGCTGTTTTTAAAGCTCTACAGGTGAAACTAGCCGCTGTTTTTAAAGCTCTACAGGTGAAACTAGCCGCTGTAGTTAAAGCTCTATAGGTGAAACTAGCTGCTGTAGTGAAAGCTCTACAGGTGAAACTAGCCGCTGTAGTGAAAGCTCTACAGGTGAAACTAGCCGCTGTAGTTAAAGCTCTACAGGTGAAACTAGCCGCTGTAGTTAAAGCTCTATAGGTGAAACTAGCTGCTGTAGTGAAAGCTCTATAGGTGAAACTAGCCGCTGTAGTGAAAGCTCTACAGGTGAAACTAGCCGCTGTAGTTAAAGCTCTACAGGTGAAACTACCTGCTGTAGTGTGTAGGTGATGAACTTTTTGTGTGTTTCAGATCTACCGCAGAGGCTCAGAGAGGATCTCTGATCTGTCCTGGGAGACTCTGAAGAAGGAGGTGACGGTAGCGGTGGAGAGTGAGGTAAACAGAATTGTGCTTTACTACAGAGAGATGAAAGATTTTAATATCTCATACTTAAACAGTGTCTGGTGCTGGCAGTAATCTCTAATTTCCTTCTGTCTGTCCTCATGTCTGTGGTCGTGCAGCTGCAGAGCAGTGTGACAGAGTTTGAGTTTTCTCAGGAGGAGTATCGTCAGCTGCAGGTGGAGTTCTGGTCCAAGTTCTACGCCTGCTGTCTGCAGTATCAGGAGGCTGTGTCCATGCCTCTGGGTCTGACTGTGAGCCAGCACACCAACATGGTCTGTCTGCTCAAGAAGGTAAAGACATTGCTCACCTGACCAGGTAGAGCAGTTACACACTGACCAGGTAGATCTAGTAAACACTGACTAGGTAGATCTGTTACACACTGACCAGGTAGATCTGTTAAACACTGTGTGACGTATTTATATTCTGTATTCTGTGTTTCAGGGCTTTGTGTCGTTCCTGCTGCCGTGTTTCGCTGTGGATCATTTGTACCTGTCTTATGACGAGTACCTGTTCTCAGAGGAGGAGACGCCCATCACTGAAGGTAACCACACCTTTACGCTGCTGACAGAGCTTGGAGCATTGAACTAGTGCTGCGCTGTAGTATATGTTGTAATAATGTGATAATAATGTTATAACTGTTATAATAATGTGATAATATAATAATTTCATAATAAAATTATAACTGTTATATGTCATAATGTTATAATAATGTGAATATAATGTTATAACTGTGTTAAATATAATAATGTTTAACAGACCCTGAGGTGGGCCGTGATGTGCTGCAGCTGGTCCAGTGTCTGAGGCTGGTCAGTGACGCGGTTTCTGGAGAGATGGCATATGAGATGGAGAAAGCTCTGGAACACCTTCAGTCCCCTGAGAGAGCAGCTGAACTTGTGCTGGAGAACATGCTGTCCAATGACAGGTCAGGGTTCTGATGTATTGATTACACTGAGTTTATTGTAACTGAACAGAGATCAGTGTCACTGGAGGAGATGGATCAGTCCATATGTGTAATGAATCAGATTGAGCTGCAGTCAAGTGTGAGCCTATTGTGACGTCACCCATTGGTAAAACGGAACCAGCAGAGGTCACATAAAGCGAGTTGAGCTGCTCTCATTGGCTGCTCGTCTGCTCACACAGGATCTGGTATTCCAGATAAACAGTAAAATGTGTTTGTGAACAGATTTGAGGAGAGCAATAGTCAACAACAGAATCTGGAGCCATATCTGATCAGCACTGTTTGACAGTTTGATCTGAGTTTGGTTGAGCTGGACTGACTCACTGAGAATGAGCTGTCAATCACAAGGTAGCCCCGCCCTAAAGCATACCCTGCTTTATGGTCTGTTTTACTCTAAATGGGACCATCAGTTACTAAATGAACATCATCAGCCAGAGAGCTAATGTTGTGCTGCTGTATGTTTAACAACAAGACCAGCAGCTATGAGCCATGTGATGGAGCAGATTTTGACCAACGATACGTATATTGACGGCTGCAGCCTGAAGTAGTGAGTACAACAGCCAATGAGATGTGAGTATTGGGGCTGTTCAGCGGACACTCAGTGCTGTCAGATATATTGATCTCAAATTTCATTTAGAGACATTTTCACTGGAACTCCTCAGTAGGTGTCAGGAAGTAATGGACACCCAGCAGCCAATCAGAGTCCAGTATTCACACAGACTATAATATAACATGTGATATTAGATGTGTGTGAATGAATATTGATGGAAGGTGTACAATAATTGATCCTGCAGTGATAACGTGATCGAGGACATCCAGAACAAACTGCAGGATGTGCGGAACCCTATGGCGGCCATGATGGTCCTGCTGAGAGAGATGGACCTGGAGACGGACTCAGAGGTGGGAGGAGAGGGACCCGTCGCTCCTGGTAGGATCATTAAATTAACCTCATATATGTAAATATTAATGTCACATACGTGGACTCAGTGTTTCCCTGATCTGTGTCTGCCAGGAGCGACTCTGAACGTGAGGATCAGCCTGTCTCAGCTGTACGGCAGCAGCTCTGCAGTGTCTGTGGTCTGTCAGGCCGTCTGTAACCTTGCCATGACCCGGGCCCTGTTCTGTAGAGACCTGCTGATCCTTCAGAAACTCTACCTGCGCTTCGGAGACAATGTACGCACGCTCTCACACTCTCTCACACTCTCTCTCTCTCTCTCTCTCTCTCTCACACTCACACTCACACACACCTGACCATTAGTCTTCAGTCGATCTGAGTGAGCAGATAAATACAATTAAAATGTTCCAGGACAACAGGGATTTTTTTCAGGATATTTGATCATTTTCCAGGTTGTCCAGGGCTGTAAAACTCTGAGCCTGTACACTGAATAACAACAGTGACACCCAGTGGTCAGAAGACCCGCACAGAGTTAATACTAACACATTGATCCATACTGTGTGTGTGAATGTGTGTGTGCCTCAGGTGTTTCTGGGTGGGGGGGCTCAGCTGCTGCAGCTCCAGCAGGATCTGATCCCTCGGAGCTCCCACCTCCTCTCCTCCTATCACCTCCTCAAACACATCAGTCAGAGCCTGGCCTCCTCCGTCCCCATCGACATCCTGTGAGTACTGATACTGTGCTGCCTGTGTACTAGTACTCACTGATACTGTGCTGCCTGTGTACTAGTACTCTCTGATACTCAGACTCATTGACCCCTGACCTTTGACCCCTGCAGAGATGCCAACCTGCAGCACCTCACAGTGCTGGAGCTGTCTGACACCCCGACTCTGTCCTCCTCTAGATCAGGTCAGTGACTGATCTCAGATTCAGCTGAATATATCAGACCCAGACATACAAAGACAATTTAAATAAACAGCTAAACAATGTGTATCTGATTATTGATTATTGGTGTTCCTGTCAGTAGTGTTGAGTCCTCAGACGGTGGTGGAGCTCTTCTATCAGACTGCAGCCAGGAAGATAATCATCTCTCAGCTCTTCTGTCAGCGGCAGACCAACTCCTTGCTGCTCTGGACCCACATGGTCTCCAACGTGGTCCACTTGCTGGCTCAGCTGCTGTATCCTTCATACGTGATCAATACCTCACTGGAAACTAGTTATAAAAGTAAACCTAGGGTTCCCACGCCTCCTCGGAATTTAGAGACTACCCTTTCAGTCCTGGAAACACCTGGAAATTGATTATAATGATCAAATAGCCTGAGTGTGTTGAACCTTTAACTGTATGGTCTTTAATTTGACAGTCGACTGTTGGTGGAGAACCGGCAGTACGACGCAGAGCACGTTAACCAGCCAGCGAACGAATTTGCAAAGATGTTTCTGGCGTGCTTTTTTTTTTTTAAATTCTCATGAAAGTGAAAGTGGAAACTTGTTGTTGTGGTTAATTAATTTAAACACAGCAGTGTTCATTGTACATACAAACACTTTGTACTTTAGCTAGTAATGTATGTAATGAATGAGACTGGGGTTCAGCTACCACTGAATGATATGACTATCCTGTACTGTCGATAAAAACCCAGGAAAATGATTTCTGTCATTAAAAATCATAGACAACTTGTTCCATCTGAATAGGAAGTGAGTTTAGTAAGTTTAGTGACGTATGGATCAATGTTTTTGTGCAGGAAACTACAATGATTTATCAAATGAAAAGGTACAGATCTCAGCGATTGGTTGAATTTGTGATATTTACTGGAAGGACTGAATGTATTTAGTAAATGAAGCAGACAGTCAAATTTACATTCATACAGCCTGTTGTTATTGATCACGTTGTTGCGATAAATAAATACATGCGCACACACAGTGACGTTAATCGTATGTGGAACGAACACATTCACTTTCTACTTCTTTAATCAGTGAACAAGTGGAAGATACACAAATTTAAAATAGAAGAAAAACATTCAACAGGTTTTTGATAAAATTATTAAATTGAATCAATATGGGCTAATATTCAGCGTGATGAAGAGGAGTTCTTACAGCTGCCAGTGAAGATCAGATGCATTATATTTTCTATATTGTAGTGACTTGTTGAATCTTAACTGATGTGCCCCAGTTGGCCCAGTAACCCTGGTTTCCAGTTCCCTGAGTGTCTGATGGCCAACTGTCAGTACACACAGCTGCAGGTGAGTTCAACTCAGCTGATCCTTCGTCTCACGTTATCATTTAATCTCTTTCATATCAGTGTTCACATGTTTAACTCCACATTGTCTGTCAGACATTACTGGAACAGCTCCACTGTTGGTACTTATTGTGCTCCAGATATTGACATCATTGTTTAATCTATTTAATCTATATACAGTGTTTAAACTGTATAATCTATCTGTATAATCTATATACGCTGTTTAATCTGTATAATCTATATACGCTGTTTAATCTGTATAATTTATATACAGTGTTTAATCTATTTAATCTATATACAGTATTTAATCTGTATAATCTATATACAGTGTTTAATCTGTATAATCTATATACACTGTTTAATCTTTATAATCTATATACACTGTTTAATCTATTTAATCTATATACAGTGTTTAATCTGTATAATCTATATACAGTATTTAATCTGTATAATCTATATACACTGTTTAATCTTTATAATCTATATACAGTGTTTAATCTATTTAATCTATATACAGTGTTTAATCTATTTAATCTATATACAGTGTTTAATCTGTATAATCTACATACAGTATTTAATCTGTATAATCTATATACACTGTTTAATCTTTATAATCTATATACACTGTTTAATCTATTTAATCTATATACACTGTTTAATCTGTATAATCTATATACACTGTTTAATCTTTATAATCTATATACACTGTTTAATCTATTTAATCTATATACAGTATTTAATCTGTTTAATCTATATACATTGTTTAATCTGTATAATCTATATACAGTGTTTAATCTGTTTAATCTATATACAGTGTTTAATCTGTATAATCTATATACACTGTTTAATCTTTATAATCTATATACAGTGTTTAATCTATTTAATCTATATACACTGTTTAATCTGTATAATCTATATACAGTATTTAATCTGTTTAATCTATATACATTGTTTAATCTGTTTAATCTATATACATTGTTTAATCTGTATAATCTATATACAGTATTTAATCTGTTTAATCTATATACAGTGTTTAATCTGTATAATCTATATACAGTATTTAATCTGTTTAATCTATATACAGTGTTTAATCTATATAATCTATATACAGTATTTAATCTGTATAATCTATATACAGTATTTAATCTGTATAATCTATATACACTGTTTAATCTGTTTAATCTATATACACTGTTTAATCTGTATAATCTATATACACTGTTTAATCTGTATAATCTATATACACTGTTTAATCTGTATAATCTATATACAGTGTTTAATCTGTATACAGTGTTTAATCTGTATAATCTATATACAGTATTTAATCTGTTTAATCTATATACATTGTTTAATCTGTATAATCTATATACAGTGTTTAATCTATATACAGTGTTTAATCTGTATAATCTATATATAATGTTTAATCTGTATAATCTATATACAGTGTTTAATCTATATAATCTATATACAGTGTTTAATCTGTATAATCTATATACAGTGTTTAATCTGTTTAATCTATATACAGTGTTTAATCTATATAATCTATATACAGTGTTTAATCTATATAATCTATATACAGTGTTTAATCTGTATAATCTATATACATTGTTTAATCTGTATAATTTATATACAGTCATATATCACATTGTGTATCTCACCTGTGTTGTCTGTGTGCAGGAGTACGTGAGGCTCATTGGACCCTGGTGTCAGGTGAACATCGGCTCCTGTCGCTTTATGCTGGGTCAGTGTTACCTGGCCAACGGGGAAGGTCAGAAGGTGAGTGACCACAAGACCTTCTGTACACCTGAAGGCGTTTTACCTGTTGACTCATTGTACTTCCTGTCCATTGTGTGTTCAGGCTCTGCAGTGCTTCCAGGAGGCAGCAACGGAGGTGGAAAAAGAGGAGTTCCTGATGAGACTGACGGGAAGCGAGGAGGAGGAGGCTGCATCCACCCCCAGACTACAGTACTACAACAAGGTACACCTGGATGAGCTTCACCTGACGGACAGAAATTAAACACTAATCAACTGATTTAAAAAAATCAGTTTAAAGGATATCACACAGTGACTAACCATGTTACCTGAACTTAGTGTTGAGTTCAGTGTGACAGCAGACAGTTGAGATTCAGGTAGAGCTACCCTTCACGTACTTCCTGTTTCCTTCTGTTGGTTCAGGTGCTGCGTTTGTTGGAGGACGTTGGTTTATCTGAGCTTGTCATCCAGTTGGCCTCTCTGGCCATAACAGAGGCAGTGAGCGACATCAACAGCCAGGTAATGTTGATATGTCGATCAATCATATAATATATAATCAGTATGTTTATAGATATTGATCTATGGAGCCATTATTGTAGCAAAACTGTTTACAAATGTGAGTGGAGAGTTGTGTAACTATCTCAGTCTGTGTGTACATAATCAGATTTATAATCTGTACAAAAATCTTTTACACATTTGCACATCTGGATACGATTTGTAGATTATATTATTTTTACAGACATAAGTCTGATTATCTACACACAGATTGAGATAGTTACACAACTCTCCGCTCACGTTTGTAAATAGTTTTGCTCCATATTGATCTATAATAAATAATGTGTTTGTGTTCAGGTGTTTTTACCTGTAGTTTGTAGATCTTGATCTATAATCGATAATGTGTTCAGGCCGCTCTGTGGACTAGAATATTCAAACATCACCTGGACCTCGGACACAACAGTGAAGCGTATGAAGCACTCACACAGAACCCAGACAGCAGCATGTACGTATTGTTATTATTAACGGTTGATACTGTGATCAGTATAAAATCAATCAATCTGATTATCAACTTTTATTACTGTAAAACTGACCTCTAATAGAGACAGCAGGCCTCTAATAGAGACAGCCGGCCAGTAAAGGAGACCCGTGTCTAACTGCTGTTTTCTGTTTTTTAACGTTGTGTTTTCAGGCAGCTGGATTGTCTCCGTCAGCTGGTGGTGGTTCTCTGTGAACGCTCTCAACTCCAGGATCTGGTCCAGTTCTCCTACGTCAACCTGCACGACGAGGTAACACCTTCATCTGACCTTTGACCTCTGACCTGCCTCAGTAACTGCTGCAAACTTTTACTTTGATGAGATGAGATTATTAACATGTTTCCAAAAAACCTTGTCAAATGTCAGCGTTGTTGTTACGTACAGGAAGTAGCGATTTATTGATTATGAATGAGAGAATATCTGTCTTCAGGTGGTCAGTATCATTGAGTCTCGAGCTCGAGGGTTGGACCTGCTGGCTCACAATTATTACGAGCTGCTGTACGCCTTCCACATCAACAGACACAACTACAGGAAAGGTACAAACATCTGTAACACCATCTGTAAAATCTGTAACACAGGGCTGCAAAATTAATCAAACATTAAGAGTGTGTGTGTGTGTGTGTGTGTGTGTGTGTGTGTGTGTGTGTCAGCTGGGACTGTGATGTTTGAGTTCGGGATGCGTCTCGGTCGAGAGGTTCGGACCCGTCTGGGTCTCCAGAAGCAGGTGAACTGTTACCTGGCTGCTCTCAACTGTCTGCGCCTCATCAGACCAGAATACGCCTGGATAGTCCAGCCCGCCTCCGGAGCTGTGGTACTTATACACACATTATACACATTGTATATACATTGTATACACATTATACACACTGTCTACACATTATATACACATTATGTGCACATTATACACACATATGGTACTTACTGATCCTTTGAACAGTCTGGTTGCTGTGTCTGTTTATGCAGTACGAGCGGCCCGGAGCGTCTCCAAAGAGAAACTCTGATGGAGAGTTTTCTTCTGAACCAGGTGACATCAACAGTCTTTTACACAACTTTATTAACTAGCTGACAGTGGATCATTACAGTGTTTTTTTTAATAGTACGTTGCTTTAAAGCAATAATCAGCAATTAGAGCCTGGGTCTGTCCGAGGTTTCTGCCTCTTAAAAGGATTTTTTTCCTTGCCCTTGTCTCCAAGTGCTTGCTCATGGTGGGAACTGTTGGTTCTCTGTAATTAATGTTATAAGGAGTTCGGTCTAGACCTGCTTTGTTTGAAAAGTGTCCTGAGATAACTTCTGTTATGAATCGGTGCTATACAAATAAAACTGAATTGAATTGAATTGAATTGAATTGAAACCGGTTCAAACTAAGTTTAATTTAAGAAAATTGATCAATTACTATTACAATGACTGAATGCTGGACAGCAGACAGGAAGTCCTCCTTACTTGTGGGGACGCTGCCATCTACTGGACGAAGATCATACAGAGAACAAAACCCTAAAACTGTTCATGTTCAATTAAATAATGAAATTCATGTTACATTGACTGTGGTCATAACAATAAACATCATAATTAATAATCTGTTTTTGCTGCAGTCAAACGTCAGGTGGACATCCTGGAACTCAAGGACCTGGAGAAAGAGTACATCCTTTCCCGCAGCCGTCTCACCCTTGCACAGCATCACCCGCCGTCTGCTGCCATCGCTGGTACACCTGAGACACACACCTAAAATACACCTGAAATACACATGAAATACACCTGAAATACATTTTATTTTAATAGCGCCAATTCACAACAGAAGTTATCTCAGGACACTTTTCAAATAGAGCAGGTCTAGACCGAACTCTTTAACATTAATTACAGAGACCCAACAGTACCACCATGAGAAAGACCTTGGAGACAAGGGCAAGGAAAAACTGCCTGTTAAAAGGCAGAAACCTAGGACAGATCCTTCAGCTCTAGGTGGGTGGTCGTCTGTCTCGACCAGTTGGGATGTGAGAGAGAGAGAGAGAACCGTATTGAGCATTCAGAGAACGTAGTGTTCTAGAGGGGTAATTGGGTACTATGAGCTCTTTAAGATATGAAGGGGCCTGACCATGAAGAGGTTTATAGGTGAGGAGGAGAATTTTAAATTCTATTCTACATTTTACAGGGAGCCAGTGCAGAGAAGCTAGTACAGGAGAGATGTGATCTCTTTTTCTAGTTCCTGTCAGTACTCGTGCTGCAGCGTTCTGAATTAATTGGAGCGTTTGAATGGACTTATTGGGGCAACCTGATAATAAAGAGTTGCAGTAATCCAGCCTTGAAGTAACAAATGCATGGATTAGTTTTTCTGCATCTGTCTGTGATAGGATGTGTCTAATTTTTGTAATATTACGTAAATGAAAGAAGGCAGTCCTGGAGGTCTGCTTCATGTGGGAGTTAAATGACAAATCCTGATCAAAGATAACTCTAAGATTCCTGACAGTGGTGCAAGAGGCCAAGGTAATGCCATCTAGAGTAACTATATCTTTAGACAGTGAGTCTATAAGATTTTTTGGGCCAAGTACAAGAATTTCTTTTTTTTCCTGAGTTTAACATCAGAAAATTGCAGGTCATCCAGGATTTTATGTCCTTAAGACATGTTTGTAATTTAGATAATTGATTAATTTTATCGGGCTTAATTGATAGATATAACTGCGTGTCATCTGCATAACAGTGAAAGTTAATGGAGTGATTCCTAATAATTTTGCCTAAAGGGAGCATATATAAAGTAAATAGTATTGGTCCAAGTACAGAACCTTGTGGAACTCCATGACTAACTGTAGTATTTATTGAAGATTCATCGTTAACATGTACAAACTGCGAACAATCTGATAAATATGACTTAAACCAGCTTAGTGCGGTTCCTTTAATGCCAATTTGATGCTCAAGTCTCTGTAAAAGAATATTATGGTCAATGGTGTCAAATGCAGCACTAAGATCTAATAATACAAGTACAGAGACAAGTCCATTGTCTGAAGCAATCAAAAGGTCATTATTAACTTTAACCACAGCTGTGCTGTGATGAACTCTAAATCCTGACTGAAAATCCTCAAATAAACTATTGTTATGTAGAAAGTCACACAGCTCTTTGGCGACTACTTTCTCCAGAATCTTAGAGAGGAAGGGGAGGTTAGAAATCGGTCTATAATTGGCTAAAACCCCTGGGTCAAGAGTGGACTTTTTAAGAAGGGGTTTAATTACATCTACTTTAAAGGACTGTGGTACATATCCTGATAATAAAGAAAGATTAATCATATCCAGTAAAGAAGTGCCAATTAAGGGAACAACTTCTTTAAGCAGCCTAGTTGGGATCGGGTGCAACAGACAGGTTGATGGCTTCGATGTAGAAATTATTGACGTTAACTGATGAAGATCGATAGCAGAAAAAGTCTAAATATATATCTAAGTTTACATTAGTTAAAGTTTCTGAACTTGGAGAGCCACTGATAACTGTTGATGGCAGTTGGTGATTAATTTTCTCTTTAATAGTAATAATTTTATTATAGAAGAAGCTCATGAAGTCATTGCTACTTAAGTTTATGGGGATATGTGGCTCGATAGAGCTGTGACTCTCTGTCAGCCTGGCTACAGTGCTGAAGAGGAACCTAGGGTTGTTCTTATTTTCTTCTATTAGTGCTGAGTAATAGGCTCCTCTGGCATTACGGAGGGCCTTTCTATAGGTTTTAAGATTATTATGCCAAATTGAGCGATATTCTGATAATTTGGAAGAGCGCCATTTCCTTTCAGATTTCCTAGCTATTTGTTTTAACTGGAGGGTTTTGTGGTTGTACCATGGTGCTAGTCTCCTATCTCCTCCTTAAATTTAGCTACAGCACTGTCAGATAGACATCTGCTGTAGGAAGTTTTGCCTAATGGCTTATAATCTAATAATATGAATTCAAAAGTAATTAAATAATGGTCAGATAGGAAAGGATTATGTTGGAAGACTATTAAATGTTCAATATCAATGCCATATGATAAAACAAGGTCAAGAGTGTGATTAAAACAATGAGTTGGTTTATTTACACTCTGACAGAAGCCAATTGAGTCTATTAATGATATAAATGCATTACTAAGGCTGTCATTGTCAACATCCACATGAATATTAAAATCACCTACAATAATTACTTTATCTGATTTAAGGACTAAACTTGATAGAAACTCTGAAAATTCAGATATAAAATCAGAGTACGGTCCAGGAGCGCGGTACACTATAACAAATAGAACTGGCTGCAGTGTTTTCCAGTTTGGGTGAGAAAGACTAAGAACAAGGCTTTCAAATGAATTATAATTTAGTTTAGGTTTAGGGTCCATTAAAACGCTCGAATCATATATGGCTGCCACTCCACCTCCTCGGCCAGTGCCTCGAGGAATGTGAGTATTAATATGACTGGGGGGGGGTGGATTCATTTAGGCTAACATACTCCTCGTGGGACAACCAGGTCTCAGTAAGACAAAGTAAATCAATATCATAGTCTGAGATTAATTCACAAACCACACACACTTTGTCAAGTGTTTGTATTTCCAGGGCAAAATTGAACGCAATATTAAGTTAACGACATAGCACACGTTGTCACTCAAGCAGTTGAATGGCAACGGTGTTTGCTAGCCTACTTGACATGCATGATTTGCGGTTGGCATTAAATTACTAGATTTACCCGAAGAGGAAAGGCTGATGTCGTCATCATCATCATCTGTGAGGTCCACCACCACACTGGCAGGGCTGGGAGTCTCTTCAATTTGTCCGGCAAGGCCGACACTGGCTGCGGCTGCAGAAGTGCTTGGCCTTGCGTCACGTAGGTTATCAAACACGGTGCATTGTTCGGCTTTTAAATAAACTCCATGTGTCGCCAGATGTTTCATCAAATTTGACGTGATACCTCCCTTGCATGCAATTGTTCTATGGCATCTGTTGCATGTCGCCGAGTCTGCATCCTTAGACGTGAAATGCAGCCAAAACCTTGGAGCGTTTTGCCTTCGGCATCTTCATTGATCCTCTCACTATCAGTTCTGATCAGCAAGTGTGCTGAGTAGCGGCACTGATGTCACGCAAGTTGACACCGGAACACCGGGTGGCGGTAAAAACAAAAAAAAGTCAGGCACCGAAATGTTCATTCTTATTTGGTCTGGTTACTACCGTTTACGTCGGAACCGGTGCCCTATTGGTACCGCGTTTCGGTATCCAACCCTACTGAGGAGTTAGTTTTAATTTTGATTAGATTTTTATTTCTTTAAATAATTTAGGTGGTCGGGGGACAGACACAGTCTCTATGGGGTTTTGGGTGGGTGACTGTTCTAAAGAAAGTGCAGAGAAGTGTGTAAGACAGCAGCTCTGCTTCCTGGTCCCAACTCTGGACTGTCAGGTTTTAGAGATAAACTTTTTTTCTAGATAAGAGAGCTGCTCCGTCCAAAGTGGGATGGATGCCGTCTCTCCTAATCAGACTAGGTTCCCCCCCCAAAAAAAATACACCTGAAATACATCTGAGACACGCACCTGAAATACACTTGAGACACAGCTGTACACTTTGAACCATCACTCATAATTTCTGTCAAATTTGACCAAAAAATAATTTCAATCATTGGTTCTATAAATCAATATTTGATTTGTTATTATTGTTGTTGTCTTTCTTTGAACTGCTGTAGTTGAATTATTGATTATTGTTTCAGACTCACTCACAGTGCCTGTCTGTCCTTCAGTGGCCCTGTTCACTCACCTGTCTCACCTGTCTCACCTGCAGGTAGTGCTTCAGCAGTGGAGATGGTGACCCTGTTGGTCCAAACAGGACTGTTTGACTCGGCTCTGTCTGTCTGTCAGACCTTTAAACTCAACCTGACGTCTGTCTTTGAGGGTCTCACCTTCAAGTAAGACACTGCCTGTTTGTCTGCCTGCCTGTCTGATCTTATCATTAAATCTTAAGTATTTTAAGGTTGTACAAATAGAAACTCTAAATATAAGAGTTGTGATTAAAAGTGTTTGTCCAGCGCTGAGCCCCAGTGGTAGGATGGCTCTCTGTCTCCCTCTGGTGGTTGTATGAAGTTCTGACAGTATTCTGGATTTAAATCTCTGCTGGGTCCAAAAAATAAAATACATTTAAACGTTGAACACAGGATTTATTAGTAAATATATTTCATCTAATCTAAACCAAAACTTACAGATTTGTGTTTGGATCTTAGTTTTGTTTGTCTGATGAAGGTCCGGTAGTTATTAGTTAATGCTGAATTAGACTGCAACCAAATGTAAAGCCTCATACAGCTCCACAATAATACAAAGTTACACATACAGGTCAGAGGTCTGTGCTGTAGATACAGGTCAGAGGTCTGTACTGTCTATTTAATGTGTATAATAGTAACACTACTATTAACTTTAGTCCATTCGTCGGTGCTACAAATGCAAAAAACATTTATTACAAAACTCACAGGATAAGTTTTATATCGAACTGCAGTAAATAATTATTAATTCTTACTATATATCAGTTATTTGATCGCATGATATTAAATATAAAATTCATATTTACTGTATTAAATATATTGATTATTATATTGTTATGAGCTGAAGTTAGTTTTTTGTGTTCAGGTGCATCAAGCTGCAGTTTGGGGGGGAGGAGACTCAGAATGAAGCCTGGAGCTGGTTGGCTGCCAATCAGCTATCAACTGTCGTCAATACCAAAGAGTCCAGGTTTGATTGTTATTGATTATTTATTATTATTGACATTTTAAATCAATGGAGTGTCACACAGCGTTCTCTTCTTCTGTGGTCAGTGCTACAGATGAGGCGTGGCGGCTGCTGGCTTCCTACCTGGACAGGTATCCGTCCGCTAACGGACAGTACCACCGCTGCGTCATCAACAAGCTGCTGTCGCATGCCGTCCCTCTGCCCGATTGGCTTGTCAAGTCTTACAAGGTGAGTCATCACCCAATAGAGAGGAAGGGATGGGGTGGGGACGTTTTATTCTGCAGAAGCACTCACTGTTTGCTGCTTTTTCTCCTATGATGCATTGCAACAGGCCGTGGATGCAGCGTCTCTGCTGCGTCTCTTCCTGAACTTTGACCTCCTAGACGCTGCAGCCGAGCTGGTGTTGGAGTACGTGGACGCTCTGCTCGGGAGAGGACACCAATACTTCGGAATAGAGGTAAAAGTACTGCAGACTGTACTGCCTTATAGAGGTCAAAGTGCTTTGCGTACTAGAAGAAGTCATTGTGTTGAGCTAATGAAACTCTGCTGTTTAAAATAATATAATAATAAAAGTATAATTGCTGGTGTTGATTAAACGGACTCTGGTTGCTGTCACAGAGGCCTCTGTCTGCGACGTCGTCCTCCGTCTGGCTGCCGTACACGTCCATTGATCAGCTGCTTCAGACTCTGAATGAGACTCAGACCAACAGCAGTGTGAGTCTCTAAATTGATGCTTACAGTTTGATTCTGCCCACCTCTGTATCCCACAATGCAAAGCGCTGATCTCAACCTCTCAGCTCCACAAGCAACAATTGTATTTGTGGGCGGTTTCTAATTCATAATATTTCTGTTGGATGTGAATAAAAGTGATGGAATCGAACCTGACGTCCTCCTGTATTAACCAATGCTCGCTGTCTGTTTTCAGATGTACAATAAAGTTCGAGACAAATTGGACAATTATCACAAACTGGTGGAGCAGACGACCAAACGAAGACTCGTCACTCAATAGAAACTCACCTGACTCCTCCGGCCGTCAGCTGACATATTGATATTTTTGTATGTTTGTTGAACTTGTAAATATTCAGCGTCGTTCAAACAGCTTCTTTTATAATCGACTGTTTTTGTATCAGAGCTGTGGATTGTGATCACATTAAAGTTTGTTTTTCATTTCATCCACTGTGTCGTTGGTTGTTTCTGGATGAACAGACCTTTTTCACATGAAACAGTCAGGTAAACTCAGGTGTTAGCAGGGCTTCAATACACTGGTAACACCTAAGTTTGCCCAACTGTTTCAGGTGAAAAAGGATTATTAGTAATTCTGGGACTCAGTTCAAGGACTCTGGGGATCGGACTGATGAACCTGTGAATGCTGCATGACCCGTTTTACCTCCTGAGCTGCAGCCGCTCAGTTGTAACAACAAAAAGCTGAAAGTGGACCAGATCTGCTATGTAAATAAACAATCCAATCAGCAGCCAGAGAATAACAGATCCCACAGTAAGTTCAGAATACAGCTGTTCTATTTGACGTGTCCTCAGATAATAAAAACATTAAATTCAGTTTTTACCTGCAGCACCTTCATACTCTGATTTGAAGGAGAAGTTTCATTTATTATTGACACAACAGTTAGCTTTGCATTAGACTAGAAACCTGTGGCTACAGCCACACTAAGTGAAACTATATTAGCAGACTGTAGATGAATGAGGCAGAGGTCACAGAGTACAAATAAAAACAGACATTTATTGTGCAGCCAGACTCCACGTACAGACTGTACAGACTGTACCATCAGACAGCAGCTCGCAGTGATCATATAAAGGCTAAATGGAATGCTTTGTTCAGTAATACTGATCTGTACCATACAGGAGGAACGCAGTCTGCGACCAGCAGAGGTAGCACAGGAAATACACCTGCACAGGTGACCTCACAGGAAGTCAATAAGTCTGTCGCTGCGTCTCCGTGGGAATATAAAGACGTCCAAGCGCCGTGTTAACAGGAAGTGAGGGGAGGGTCACACGGTGCTTTTGGTGGGCAGCTCCGTGCTGTTGTGTCGCGTCTTGCGTGACGTGCCGTCGTCTCGCGGCCGCGCCTTCTGAAGGTTGGACATGGCGGCGGTGCGCTCGATGTCAATGAGGGCGTAGAGCTCGGTGCGGCGGGTGGGGGTTGTGGGGGGCAGCGGCGAGGTTGGGGTGCGGGGCGTGTGGGGGTTGCTGCCGTCCGAAGTGCCCTTGTTCCCGGTGCCGCCGTCCATCTCCACCTCAATGTAGTTGAGGGTTTTGGGTTGCTCGGCGTGGCCCGACAGCGGCGGCCGGCGGAAGTCAAAGTTGAAGATGGTCGGGCCCTCGGTGCGGCGGCGGGCCGTGTCGGGCCGGTGGGCACTGAGCGGCGCTGTCACGTTCTCTGTGTTGACGTAGTTGTGCGAGGACTCGAGGGAGGCGGACAGCGGGTGGGAGTAGGAGTGGTGCAGCAGGCCGTGGTGGGCGTGATAACCGTTGAGTGATGGCGTCTTCAAGCCGCCGCAGCCGTTCTCATCCTCCTCTGAGCTCGGCTTCCTCGCCTCCCACACCGGCGGCAGCGCCGGCAGGTTCTCATAGTCCAGCAGGGCAGTGCGCCGCTGTGCCGAGTTGTTGACATTCTGCAGGTCGGGGGTGAGGGGGGGGGGGGGCGGGCGTTGGCGGCGTGGAGCCGTGGAGGGATTGGAGGAGGAGCCGTTGGAGAGCGGGGGGCCAGGCTCAGGCTCAGCAGGAGCCTCGCCGTGGCCGTTAGTCTCTCGGGGCTCCTCGGCCTCCTGCTGCTTCTTCTCCTTCTCCATCAGCTGCCTCTGAACAGGGGTGGGTCCCAGCACGAAGCGGACGCCCTGAGGCTCCAGCAGCACCTGAGGCTCTGGCTGGGGGGGCGGGGCTAGCAGCTCACCACGGACCCTCGGGGGAGGCGGGGGGGTCGGAGGACACTGAGACTGCGGGGAGGTGGGGCTCTCCAGAGGGGTGGTGACCGTCAGTGGGCTCGGCTGCTCCTCCAGGAGGCCGGTGGTGTTCACGTAGGTGTGCACCTGAGAGAGCACAGCAGGTGTTTTGTTACATTGTTACGTCATCGTTACGTCATCCTTACGTCATCCTTACATCATCCTTACATCATCCTTACATCATCCTTACATCATCCTTACATCATCCTTACGTGGTTTTACATTTACAGGAAACTGGATCCGACATAAAAACTCATCAGTTTTATGTTTAAAGGTTCCATATCAATTTTATTAACTCTCATTACTTATGTTAAGTCTCCAGTCTTTGTGCTAAGCTACAGCTGTTTCCCTGATCCTATTGATATGTGTTGGACTCGAGTATTTGGACAGTAGTGTATTGATCAGTATTGTTGAGGAACAGGAAGTGTGTGTTACCGCGTCGTCGGCCACCAGCAGAGGGTGAGTGGACTCCTCCCCCACGGAGGGCAGACGGGTGCTGGCTACAGATGGGTGGCGGGTGGAGGGGTGAGACGGGGCCTCACCCACAGACGGGATCCTGGTCACACCGTTAGGAACCGTCGGCACCGAGTATCCCAGAGCTACAAACACACACAGTTTAGGGTCATTGTGTGTATATGGTCTGTGAATACTGGACTCTGATTGGCTGCTGGGTGTCCATTACTTCCTGACACCTACTAAGGAGTTCCAATGAAAATGTCTCTAAATGAAATAAACTGAATTTGTGATCAATATCTCTGACAGCACTGAGTGTCCTCTGAACAGCCCCAATACTCACACCCCATTAGCTCTGTGTGTGTGTGTGTGTGTGTGTGTGTGTGTGTGTGTGTGTGTGTGGGGTGGGGGACCTGCAGGAGTGTGCGCCACCTGCTGGTTGGGTTCCAGCACCGCCTCCTCTACCACACTGATACTGTGACTGTGCATCACCTCCTGCAGCATGTTGAAGATCTCTTCAGCTCGAGAACACTTGAACGCAAAAATACCTGAAATCACAACAATCAATCACTGATAGATAATCCGATCGATCAAAAATGTGTGAAAAAGTGTGACACTGTTACTGAATACTATAAATGCTGTGAATCAGTAGATATGAGACAACAGGTTGCTATGACAACAGGTACCTTGCCCCGTCTGGCAGCGCCGGCCGCTCTCGAACGAGAAAAGGTTGGAGTCGTAACCATAGCGACGGAGGCAAAGGTAAGGCCACCTGACGTCGTCACGGCGATGGGTGTGGAGGACAAGCTCAGCATCAGTCAACTCCATCACACCCGAGCCCAACTCGTTCCCATCGTCGTCCACGTTGATCACCTGGACAGGTAAACAACAACACAGTCAGAGACAGTCGTCAACAACAACAACAACACAGTCACAGATAGTCGTCAACAACAGCAACACAGTCAGAGACAGTCGTCAACAACAACAACACAGTCAGAGACAGTCGTCAACAACAACAACACAGTCAGAGACAGTCGTCAACAACAACAACACAGTCAGAGACCAGAGGGGTATTGCACAAAACCAAGATAAGGGATTAAGCCGGGATATGTTGGTTATCCTGGATGAATTTAGCCTCAAGTCGGTTGCATGAAAGCAGGTCAAACTTATCCCGGCCAAGTTACTATGGTGATTTATTCTCTGCAGCTAGCCTGCTCCAGACCAGGCTAACAGCCAGGCTAAGATTAATCCTAGTGATTCTCCTGTATTTCCACCGTCAATCCTGTGAGGACTTAATGTGTTTTACAGCATGTCCATGGTCTTTATGTATGTTGCATCATTTTAATTATCCTGCATTAAAATATTACATATATATTGTCATTTCTTATTTCATTTAAATCTGTTGGCTGTTTGTAATTGCAACAGTCTTTTTATATTGATTCAAGTGGAAGTATTATTACTCAGGACAAGTGTTATATTGCTATGCTAATGAAGACTGCTTGTCAAACTGCATAAATATGTGTTTTATTGCAGTAATTGAGATTACAAAACACAGCTGATGAAGTTGCAAAGGTGTTTTCAATGAAATCTGTGACAAGGGCAAAATATATATATATATATACATCTAGTACATAGTGTTTTTTTATTATTTCCCTACTCTTTACTGTTTATTTATACTGTTTTCTCTCTATCCACTTTGTTGCTGTTACATTGGAATTTCCCCAATGTGGGACAAATAAAGGAATATCTATCTATCTATCTATCTATCTATCTATCTATCTATCCCCATTCACCTGTTCCCTCTTCATAATGGCTTGCCCTTTCTTGGAGGATGTACGGGATGAGGAAGCCCTAATCCTCAGACGAGCATTTAGTCATGAAAGAGTCTTCTGGGACAGGTCAGACCCATTGGCTGTTGGAGAGGACTATCTCATTGAGAGATACAGATTCTCAGGTGATGGACTAAGATATTTATGTAGGCTGCTGGGTCCAAAAATACAGCACCAGACGGCAGGAAGCCATGCTCTCACTGTACCACAGATGGTCTGTGTTACAGTGAGATGTTTTGCAAGTGGGAGCTTCCTTTATTCTGTTGGGGATGCAGAGAACCTCAATAAAGGAACCATTTGCAGCACATATCCTGGCTTGGTGGGCCCCCTGTGCCAGTTCTATGGGCTTTTTTTTAACTGCTACAATCATACAGACATTCAACATGTCAGCAGATACCTAATCTATTCACCTCATTTGTTCACTGTTATCTACTTTATAGTCACTGACCAGCCTGCAAAATGTTCTTGTATTTAACTTTAACTTGCTGCCAGGTCCTTTTATGGTCAGACAAGTTTGTTCTTTATGAAGGATAGAAAGATAAAATAGATAAAAACAGATTAAATGACACACATTGTGGATAATTGTTTGCACTTAATCATACTCTACATTTAAGTAACATGAACCTCTACTTGCCACATTTAAAGCAAAGTGTACAACAATTGATTAGTGGACTTAAAGTAACTCCTTTAGTCCTTTAATTGGAGCCTAATGATGACAGTTCCAGTGGAGCACTGTTTATTCATTGTACAGTTTTGGACTACTTAAGCATTAAGCCGGTCCGCTATTGTCTGCCAGGCTTTCTCTCTTTCTTTAATTATAGCATTGGTATTGCCTTTGTTTCTTCTATCTTCCACCTCTTCATAGAACTCCATCAGGAGCTGTTGTTCAGCGGCTAAATACGAACTCTTATCCATGTTCCCATCGGTGATTCTGTGAGCGATCGCGAGGTCTATTTCAGTATGCCGTGAACACGCACTTATCCCGACTATCTACACCTGGCTTAACATAGCCCCACCTTTTCATCCTGGCTCGGCAAACGTGCAACCGATTAAGCCAGGATGCGCCGAGCAGGCTAAGTCAAGCCGGCTTGCTCAATTATCCTGGATTTCTTTATTCTACTTTTGTGCAATACCCCTCTGGGGCCTCATGTACTAATATTGCGTACGCACAAAATTCGTGCATACGCCATTTTTCACGTTCACCTTCGGATGTACTAAAAGTGAAATGAACGTGAGAATGTGTGGTCCTCCACGGCAGCTTCATTGCTGGCGTACATACATATTTTTTGCTTATGTCAGTTGTCAGTTGGCAACACTTACAGGCGATGCATTGAAATTGCATAGCTGAAATTAATAATTGCTCTAGGGACAGTTGCACTGCATGCGAAAGTCTTTATTATTTACAATCAATCAAGCAATTAAACAATTTTAAATAATTTGCAGATTATTTGTGTTAAGGGGTTATTTACTGCAGCGCGCAGTCCTCCACTGTGTATGGAGGAAGTAGAACACACTCGAATTATCTCTAGCCTCTTGGCATATTTATTTAACAGTTAACAATAAAGTGTAGACCGATGTGCCACACACACAACAACTAGCGCTCACTGGGAGCGTGGTGACATCCCGTCTTGTACGTACCGTAACCCTTTCACAATACAGCAGTACAGCATCAGTCAACCGTAATACAGGGACTCCACCACCTGTGGCCTGAAGGCTCTGGCGATGGGCAGATATGTCTTCATATCTGACCACTTCTTTTTCAACTCCGCTGTGGTGCGGTTCTCCGACCCTACCGAGTTTACTGCCTGTGCCACGCAAAATATATATTTTTGGGCTCTACCTCCGTCAGCAGCACCTCCAATTCACACTCTGTAAAATTTCTTTTTTTCCTGACTTTTGCCATTTTCCTAAAGACAGCACTATCTAGGCCTATTTATACTAATTAGCATATTCAAATCGGTGTATTTGAGGGAGGGGACAGGGTGGAGAGTTGTGCTTGTGCATGTGCGCTCAATTTCACGTTGATTGCGATGTACAAAGACAATGTGCGTGGGATTCTGCGTACGCACGTTTTGATACATCGGATTTTTTTTTGCGTACGGAACTTTCACTCTTTCAGTGTACGCCACATTCTAGTAGGAAATCCACGCAAGTCTTAGTACATGAGGCCCCAGGGTTTCCCGCAGCACTTTGCAGCTAAGGCGGCTGCCTTAGCAACACACGCCTGCCACCTTAACTATGTCGTCAAAAAAAACCCCAAAAAAGTAGGCCGGGTGATATGAGCAATGCGAGCGATATCCGCCGTGTTACTCTATCCTGTTTTCTCACTTTCATTCCAAACTGTGACCAATGCCAGTCTCCCTTCTCTGCAGAATGCATTAAAAAAATAATGAAAAACGTGCCATGAATCGGAAAATAATCAGTTTTTATAATCTTTAAATATGTGATATGCCTCCGAATCGCGTGATGCGTCCGAACAGCAGCATCTGGTGGTTGTCATCACGCCATCTATCATCGTTCGCCAAACATTCTACAACATTCTTTATCCGGGTAAAAAGAAAACATTTTTGGGTGAAGACGTTCATCTGGCATTTGGATAGCCTGTCCCATCGAGGTAAGATAATTATTCTAAATTATCTTAATTCTATAAATACTTGAACAGCCTGTAAACTGTTCGCTCAAAGTATCTGAAATTGTTATGATAGGCGTAATGTTTTCTTATCAAGGCTAGTTGCGTTTACACCTGGTTGTCTTATAGCTATACGTTTGATGATTGCACGTGATTTTCTCTTGCATTGTACACAGCCAAAAATTGCGGGCTTCTTCGTACGACAAAGCAGGCCTACCCTAAGTCAGTGACAGTCGTCAACAGCAACACAGTCAGAGACAGATAAACAATGATCAGTGTGATCAATGATCATCAATTGCAGAGAGAGAGAGAGACAGACAGACAGACATGTGTGCTGACCTATTGAACTCACCTTGAATTTGCTTTGATGATTATCTGGAATTGATTCTCTCTCTTCTCAACAAAGTCAGAGACAGTCATCAACAACGGCAACACAGTCAGAGACAGTCGTCGTCAACAACGGCAACACAGTCAGAGGCAGTCGTCGTCAACAACGGCAACACAGTCAGAGACAGTCGTCATCAACAACGGCAACACAGTCAGAGGCAGTCGTCGTCAACAACGGCAACACAGTCAGAGACAGTCGTCGTCAACAACGGCAACACAGTCAGAGACAGTCGTCGTCAACAACGGCAACACAGTCAGAGACAGTCATCGTCAACAACAACAACACAGTCAGAGACAGTCGTCGTCAACAACGGCAACACAGTCAGAGGCAGTCGTCGTCAACAACGGCAACACAGTCAGAGGCAGTCGTCGTCAACAACGGCAACACAGTCAGAGACAGTCGTCGTCAACAACGACAACACAGTCAGAGACAGTCGTCGTCAACAACGACAACAGTCAGAGACAGTCATCGTCAACAACAACAACACAGTCAGAGACAGTCGTCAACAACAACAACAACACAGTCAGAGGCAGTCGTCGTCAACAACAACAACACAGTCAGAGGCAGTCATCGTCAACAACAACAACACAGTCAGAGACAGTCGTCAACAACAACAACAACACAGTCAGAGGCAGTCGTCGTCAACAACAACAACACAGTCAGAGACAGTCGTCAACAACAACACAGTCAGAGACAGTCGTCAACAACAACAACACAGTCAGAGACAGTCGTCAACAACAACAACACAGTCAGAGGCAGTCGTCAACAACAACAACACAGTCAGAGGCAGTCGTCAACAACAACACAGTCAGTCGTCAACAACAACACAGTCAGACAGTCGTCAACAACAACACAGTCAGAGACAGTCATCGTCAACAGCAACAACACAGTCAGAGACAGTCGTCAACAGCAACAACACAGTCAGAGGCAGGTAAACAATGATCAGTGTGATCAATGATCATCAATTAGAGAGAGAGACAGAGAGAGAGAGAGAGAGAGACAGAGAGAGACAGAGAGAGAGAGAGAGACAGAGAGAGAGAGAGACAGAGAGAGAGACAGAGAGAGAGACAGAGAGAGAGAGAGACAGAGAGAGAGACAGAGAGAGAGAGAGACAGAGAGAGAGACAGAGAGAGAGAGAGAGAGAGAGAGAGAGAGACAGAGAGAGAGACAGAGAGACAGAGAGAGAGACAGAGAGAGAGACAGAGAGAGAGAGAGAGACAGAGAGACAGAGAGAGAGACAGAGAGAGACAGAGAGAGAGACAGAGAGAGAGAGAGACAGAGAGAGAGACAGAGAGAGACAGAGACAGAGAGAGAGACAGAGAGACAGAGAGAGAGAGACGTGTGTGCTGACCTATTGAACTCACCTTGAATTTGCTTTGATGATTATCTGGAATTGATTCTTTCTCTGGACAGCTTAAACAGCTACCCATGGCTTCTTCAGAGCACCATCTGATGTCTGTAACACAAACACACATCATACAACAACAACAATAATAAATATATATAAATATATATAAATACTGTGTATGACAGAGGGTCCTCACCTAGATCCTGCCTCCAGTAGCCCTGGTCCCATCCTCAGAGCCTGAGGGACTCTCATTCTTTAGTTAATCTGTGAACATGAACAGCAGCTCTGTAACAACAGAGGTCACATGATCACTGTCCACTCCTTGGGTTCATTCACAAACACAA